CAGGAACTGTGTGAATGCTTTGCAAATATTATCCTATGTAGTATACAGAAGTTAAAACAGCAAGAGGGTATTTTTATTACTCTGTTTTAACAGATGAGCAAACTGAGTTTGAAAAAATTACATAACTTGTCCGAGGTCTCTTAGCAGAATAGTGGAGACGGGATCCAAGCAGCAGTTTAAGGGACCAGGGAGCAAATGAGCAGTGGGACTGGGGCGAAGGACTGCACACCTGAGGTCCCACTGCAGCATGGTCAGAGCGAGCCGTGGTCCCCTTCAGGCATCTCTGTTCTATATCAGCATGTGCCTTGCTGACTCCAGGGAGTGGACATCACTGAAACTCAAAATATGCAGCATGGCTTCTCAGTCAGTCAGTCAGTTCAGTCGCTCAGTCGTGTCCGAATCTTTGTGACCCCATGAATGCAGCATGCCAGGCCTCCCTGTCCATCACCAACTCCTGGAGTTTACTCAAACCCATGTCCATTGAGTCAGTGATGCCATCCAACCATCTCATCCTCTGTCGTCCCCTTCTCCTCCTGCCCCCAATCCCTCCCAGCATCAGGGTCTTTTCCAATGAGTCAACTCTTTGCATGAGGTGGCCAAAGTACTGGAGTTTCAGCTTCAGCATCAGTCCTTCCACTGTAGCACTAGTTTATTCTCTGAGCCCTTTACTGATGTTTTTAACACATCATTTCTAAGCTTAACGCCTCTTTCAGAGCCAGTTGCACCAGAGCACTGAAGACATGAAAAATTGATCCCCTGGTCATCTTGTTTGTTTGTGTGGTTTCCTTTTTATGTTTCTGATGCAAGTCTAGAAAATAGTTTTGTTATATACACACACACACATGCACATACATATATATGTAGAGAGAGAGAAAATATTAAAATGCTTATTACAGAAAACTTGGAAAGCATAGAAAAAGTGGAAAAATTAATCTCCATAAGATTAAGTATTTTCCACCATTAACATTCAATCTGTGACCTTCCAATGCTTTTAATTACTACATGTACATTTGTATTACCAAAATCACAATCTGTATGATACATTTGTTTTGTTCTTTCTTCATTTAGTGATATGTCATGAACATTTTCTCATGCTAATAAATATTCTTCCACTACCTGATTTTGGATGAGGAACATGATAGGCTTCATCTAAATGTATTGTAGTCTAATTAATTTGTTCTTTCTCATTTTCTTTAATCCCATGTTTTTGCCAGTTATTTTCATAGGACTTCTGCTGTTACCAGTGTTGGAAATCCAAAAAGGGAGTATGGACTGTTTGGCATTAATATCTGTGTGAAGGATAACATTGGAATCATATTCACTCTAATTATTACAGAATTTTAAGACCTTAACAGAAGAGATCTGAGCAGTCACCTGGGGTAGCCTATGACAGGGCACCTCCCTCCTACACCATTCTCGACAGGTGAACCAGCCTCTGCTCACAGACCTCCATAAGCAGACACCACTCAGCTCCTCTTCATCTGGGCTAATGTGTTATGTTCCTATCTTGAGCTTAGGAACAAGATTCTGACACAAATAGATTTTGAAAAGTTGTTTCCGAAACCTTTAGAAGCATGTGCTTCAAGTGCAATGTGATTTGAGAATCTGGGAAGGAAGTCAGAGGCAGGATGGCAGGCAAGATAGCGCAGAATGCTGGCCTAGCTGATCGAAACCAAGGAACTGCTGCAGACAGGCAGGGAGTGTTCTCTGATTTGCAAGCTACAGTTATTCTAATTGATTTCTGCATAGTTGTGGATAGGGATCTGCCCTTTCCATTTATTCTTCTCTCGACAAGTAAGATGTGAAGTGTTGTTCCATGCCTTTCTAATTTAAATGTTGCACATGTTGAGAACTAATCTTGCCAACCATTTTAAACCAGGCCAGAAACATAACACACTGTTGTTATTAGTCTTCATTATTTGGTTAGAGCCAACATTTTGTTTGAAACCATGCTGCAGTATAAATCTCCTTTATAGACAAAACCTGCTTATGCCATAAAGTAGATGCAATGGGAAGGCAGCTGAGTTTTCTTGGTGAGCTGCACTTCTTCGTCTCATGAGGCTGTTAAGGCCAGGGATGCTCATTTTGAGAGACTTCTTGGGAAATGAGATTCATGTTCTTTGGGATCTTATACCTGAGCTGAGACATATAACTAATCTAAGGTGGTGTGTGAAAAGTACACATACACAGAGATCAGAAGGAGTTAGAGGAGAAACAGAGCATTACCTCACAGCCCATACTGGGGGCTATGGACAATGTCCTTGAAGCCATATGCACCACATTCAGTCAACAGGCTGAGTAAACCAGCTGTCTCCTACACATCTGCACTACTGCTTTCCAGATATTATGTAGACACCCTGGTGGCCAGTAATATTTTTAAATGAATTCTTGTATTATTACTATTTATTGTAACTTTTTGCCTTATTGTGTATTTTTGATCAGTAGATTTGACACACATCTGTGAAATTTTTTCAAGTTATAAATGGTTTCGATTACTTGAAGATTAGAAACTTCCATTGTTTGAATCAATGCTGTCCACTAGGACTTTCTGTTATCACGGAAATGTCTCTGCCTTGTCCAGTAGTATAGTCACTAACTCCATACAGCACTTGAGGACTTGAAATATGGCTAGTGGGAACTGAGGAACTGAATTTTTAATTTAATTTTATTTTAATTGATAAATAGATAAACATTAAATAGAGGATACCATGTTGGACAACACAGATCTATTGAATTCCTTTGTAGATAATTTTCTAGAGGTCCTCCCTCCTTCCCCAAGTTCTTTCTGCCACACCCCATCCTGGTTTGTTGAGGCTTCTACCCACTGTAGGTGTCTACCAGGCCACTTCTCAGGTGCTCCTATTCCTGAAGGTTCTTTAGCCCAAGAGAAGGGTTCTCTCACAGATGCTTAATGATATGATTTTGAAAGCCATTCCTAATCATAGAAATGAAAAGGAATGGTTAGTTACACTTTTCTTTCAACCACCATCCAATCCTTAGGAGCTTGAGGTTTCTATTTTCCTGGGATACATGAGATAGGGGTTTTCATATTTAATTTGTTTCCAAGGTCATATAACATGATCTTTCCTTAAAAGTTGATTGCTTGGTAGGCTGTAAATAATTATTAGAAACTCAGAAATCAAAATCTTATTCTGGGCACTCATTAAGCAAGACATTTTCCCTTTCCTTTGCTCTCTTGATGATTATTGAGAGTGACCAGAAGGTCTTCCTTCTCTAACTTTGAAAAAAAATCAATACAGCTCAGAGCATTTTATAAGTTATGACTCCTGGGACCTTCTAAGATCATCATGGGCAGTGGCAGCATATGATATAATAACTTCTGTTAAGGTAAAATCACAAGATGGTAGCCAAATATCTCTGAATGTAAAATTCACCTTTGTATTTATATTATGATTGATATTTATTATAGATACAGTGCTAGTACGATTAGTAGGTAATTCAAAATCATTATCTTTCCCAAAAGATGTGTGTTGTGCAGTGTTTTAAAGCAAGATGAAGGCAGAAAGCCATAACATGTAGAATTCAAAAAAGCATATGAACTCATACCCAGGGAGCTCTCATCAAACGAATGACCACCTTTCATGGACCAGCCTAGGAGGAGGTGTTTCTCTGGAGGAGGGCCTTCAAACCCACCTGCTGCACAAGGGTGAAGGTGCGGGCTGCTCTCTGCTGCCCTCGGTCGAGCCTTCTCACTTCCTGCTCTTCCTGCTTTGAGGCTCTGAGTTCTCTTCAGAAGTCAGACCCAGAGCAAGGGAAGTTTCATTTGCTGAGCCCAGAGGCCAGAACGTGTCCCTCGGCGCCTGCTGGGCAGTGTGCCCTGACACCGAACACGCCGCGAGGCAAGGAAGCTAAGGCCACTGCACCCCCGGGCCCTCGTGCACAGTGAGATGAGAGGGGAACGCTGATGGGTGTCTCGTGACCTCCATTCTGTGTCTTTGGATTCTTCCACTCTTCACCCTCTCTCATAAATTTCCTCCAACACATGAATCCAGACAGTTGTTTCTGACATTAAAGTTGTGTTGGACTTCTCTTCTCATAGCACCTCCATTCTCTGTGGTGGTGCTGTTTTCGTGAAACACATGCCTCCGTGGCCTGCTAATCTCCTTTTGATAGTAGATACCTGGGTTGTTGCCACTGTGGTTGGCAGTTAGGTGTGTGTCTGTATGCTGGGGACAGATCCCAAGGGGAGGCGGTGAGGAGTGGAGCATGGGGAACGCCAGCCAGCAAAGATGAGTGAGCTTTTGCAAATGTAAAATACCAGCCTGAATTTGCTTCCCTTTCTATTCTGTAGTAAACACAAAGGAATACAGATGGAAACTTAGTCTTCTATGAGCCCCCAGGAAGAATATCCATCCTCTCCCTGTGCTCTTGAGGCCCCTGAAGTGTTTGAAAGGAGCCAGAGGAAGAACATGCTTTGGGGTCTGTTCTGCTCCCTCCGTCTGGGCCTTCCTGTGCCCAGGCTGCCACCCCTCCTTCTCCAGCATCTGAGGAGCTACAGGTGACCCTTTCCGCAGGACCCTGGCCTTCTCCTTGGTAGATCTGTGTAGGAAAACTAATGGGCAGTGCTCGGCATCCTTGTCTCTCTACTGCAGTTGGTTTAGGCTTATGACTTCTTAACCTTCATGTGTTTGCTTCATGTGTTTTCCTTCTGGTTACAAAATTATGCCAAATGATCGTATCTTCTAAATTTTCCTTTTTCTGCTTGAGTCTATATGTATATATTTCTTTGATTAGAATATCTTAGCCTGAAAGCCTCTGATCTTCACTGTAGGAAACTAGTTCAAGGCTAATTACCTGTCAGCAAACTTTGGATTGCTAGATGTTTCCGTAATTGCCCTCAAATGTGGTATTGAGGTTGCAGGTTTGAGGAAACACTTATGAACAGTGGCTTTGGGGAAATTAACCTCTCCATTTTCAATACTGAGTTCCAAATTACTGTGTATTAACGCATCTGTCAACTGCCTCTTTTAAAATTTCAGTACCTACTAGAAATGAAAAGCTTAATCCTGCCCCCAGAACACATCCTGAAGCGAGGGGACAGTGAAGCGATAGCATATGCGTTCTTCCATCTGGCACACTGGAAGAGGGTGGAAGGAGCTTTGAATCTTCTCCATTGCACGTGGGAAGGCAGTAAGTAATTTTCTTTCTTTAACATTTTTTTTTAAAGCATGAAAACATGCTAAAGCTGTTTTTGCCCTGAGCATTTGTGATGAATGATGAAGATTTACGTATCTATAGCTGTGCTCTGTGATGTTCCATCACAGAGATGTGGTTAATTACCCAGGCTTTCTGGTTTCCCAGTGGTGGTGGGTGTTATTGTGGTGATGTTTCCTCTGCACCTCAAAAAGGCACGTTTACACAGCGGAGGGGCTGGATCTGGGCTGTTCCAGCAGTCATGCTGTGCTTAGGTGCTCAGTCGTGTCCGACTCTTTGCAACCTGCCAGGCTCCTCTGTCCATGCGAATTCTCCAGGTAAGAATACTGGAGTGGGTTGCCATGACCTCCTCCAGGGGATTCCCAACCCAGAGATCAGAGGAGCACTCTACTCCTGCAAACTCTCCTTGGAGACCCAGACAGCCCCTCGGCATCATGGGAGTCTTTGGCATGGAGCCAGGCCCCTTGCTGGGCTCTGATGACCCCTTCCAGATGGCCTTTCTGGGAGGGCTGGCTGAAGAGCCACAGTTATCCTCCAGGAGAGCTTGGTTGGCCAAAGAAAAAGGAGCAGCGATTATGCTTCAGGACAGCTGGACCCTAGTATGGTGGCAGGGGTAACCTTGTGTGTTGAGGAATAAGTGCCTGTTAGATGGATGTGCGGATACATTGATCTGAGCAGCTGCTGGCACCATCATTTTGTGTGAGAAGAAGCGGCTGTAATGTTGGGTGAGACATGCTCCCGGCCCCAGAGAAGCATCTCATCCAATTGGAAGGAGTAACCAGCAGCATTAGCAGCTGCTCAATGATTTTTCAGACGGGAGAGACCTATGGGGTGGAGCAGTCATGGGTAACCTTATGGGTCATATGAGATTTGAACCAAGCCTTGAAGAACTAGGACAGTCTTATAAGCAAGGACGCTATGAACAGTGCTAAGTGTTGGGGGGGGGGGAGCTGTCGGGGAGAATGAAAAGGGCTCAAGATTGTGGATTATTGAACATGTATATTGACACTGTTATCATAAATGTAAGCAAAATAAGCATAACATGTAGCACGGGTTTTTCCCCCCTTCATGGGGGAAAAGAAATTTGAGTCTTCTGATAATTTTTCCTTAGTTCACCCCTACTCTGATCAGCCTCACAAGCAAAAGTCTTTTTAATCCCTTTCACTGTTTATTTTTGTTCCTTCCATTTTCATTTTGCCAATCTTCTACTCTTCCCTTTTCCTGCCCTTCCCTAACCCAGCAGGAATCTAAACTGGTACAGGAAAGGGGTGGGAGCAGTCAAATGAGATGGAGTAAAAGTAACTCAACAGAGATAGGACTCAAGTTGATTGCAAGTTTTTTGTTTAGTTGTTTTGAAAATACTTTTTCAGAGAATCGTAGCCGGTCTAGTTAAATCATTTACTGTTTTTAACTTGAGGGGTGGTGACTTGGTGGATATTTCTACACTCACTCTGTAAGTATAATAACCTATTCCAAGTGTCCTGGTCCTGGTATTTGGATGTGTTAAGACAGCAGACTCTTGCTCACGGTGTGTGTGGACACGTGTATAGTTCTCTCTGACTTGGGCTTATTGTTGCATTTATGGTGTTCTATACAGATGAGACAAAAGGAATTTTTATTTAAACATGAGAAAGAAAGAGATAAAGCCCAGCAAGACTGAACATGAGAGGCCTTACCTAGTATTAGTCATGGTAAAATTAAATGGACAAATTGGCTTACCAAGTAAGAACATATGTATAGATTCAGTTCAGTTGCTCAGTTGTGTCTGACTCTTTGCGACCCCATGGACTGCAGCACGCCAGGCCTCCCTACCCATCACCAACTCCCGGAGCTTACTCAAACTCATGTCCTTTGAGTTGGTAATATCATCCAACCTTCTCATCCTCTGTTGTACCCTTCTCCTCCCGGCCTCAATCTTTCCCAGCATCAAGGTCTTTTCAAATGAGTCAGTTCTTCACATCAGGTGGCCAAAGCATTGGAGTTTCAGCTTCAACATCTGTCCTTCCAATGAATATTCAGGACTGATTTCCTTTAGGATGGGACTGGTTGGATCTCCTTGCAGTCCAAGGGACTCTCAGGAGTCTCCTCCAACACCACAGTTCAGAAGGATGAATTCTTTGATGTTCAGCTTTTTTTATAGTCCAACTCTCACATCCATACATAACTACTGGAAAAACTAAAGCTTTGACTAGACAGACCTTTGTTGGCAAAGTAATGTCTCTGCTTTTTAATATGCCGTCTAGGTTGGTTATAACTTTTCTTCCAAGGAGCAAGTGTCTTTTAATTTCATGGCTGCAGTCACCATCTGCAATGATTTTGGAGCCCAAAAAAATAAAGTCTGTCACTGTTTCCATTGTTTCCCCATCAATTTGCCATGAAATGATGAGGCTGGATGCCATGATCTTAGTTTTCTGAATGTTGAGTTTTAAGCCAACTTTTTCACTCTCCTCTTTCATTTTCATCAAGAGGCTCTTTAGTGTTTCTTTGCTTTCTGCCATAAGGGTGATAGCATCTGCATATCTGAGGTTATTGATATTTGTCCCTGCAATCTTGACTCCAGCTTGTGCTTCATCTAGCCCAGTGTTTCTCATGATATGCTCTGCATATAAGTTAAATAAGCAGGGTGACAACATACAGCCTTAACGTACTCCTTTTTCAATTTGGAACCAGTCTGTTGTTCTATGTCCAGTTCTTACTGTTGCTTCTTGACCTTCAATGTATGGATTGGTATTTTGGAAATATAGTAATAGAAGCTTATTGATTGGATCTGATTGATAAGATAGTTAGTCCTATAGGAAAGATCAGAAGAGGGGGTGGGGCAAGAAATGATAAAGACACAGTATTAGGAATGGTGTAACTGTAAAAATAAAAAATAATGAAAAAATTCTGTTTGGAAGTTAGTTACCCCATATTACCAGATAACAATGGGGAGATGCTTTGGAAACAGTGGGAAGGACAGTGACATTGTGAGAGATGGGAAGTGACACAGTGATCCCCACATCAAGCAGTGAGGTACCACTGGGGGGGATGTAATTACCTCAAATTAGATGGGTGGAACACTTTATTAGAATAAAAAGAAATGGTGAGTTTTTAGACATAAAACAGTATGGCAGGGCAGTCAGGGACCTATATGGAAGGCAAACTCTGCATTTAATACTTAGAGATAATTAAGAACCAAGCCAGGAAATTACACATCTCTTCGGTTTTCAAAAAGAGTCATACCATTAAGTTTTAGAAAAGAGAACCATGAGAGTGCTTACCAGGTGCTGACTACCTTAGTTAGTAGTTAATTAAGGACCTTAGTAGAGGATCCCAAGAACCTTGAAAAGTGTTTGTGTAACAGTGTAATTCACAGAGGGTTTGCATTTCCATCATTTCATGGACTCCTGATAAAGTTCTGAGCCAGGCAGGACAAAGATGGCCATCTTAGATGTTCAAGAGAGAAGCAGGTTCATTGAGGTGAGCAACCTATTGAACGTCTGCAGGCACTGATGTTAGAATCAGGTTTATTGTGTCTTCACTGCTCTTTTCTGTAATGCCAGCTATTTAGGCCTTACCTGGATAGATTAAGGAGAAGAGGAACAAGCCATCTCTGAAACATTTCTTTAGAAGCCCTTAGTTTATACCACTACTTACATAAGGCTGGGGTATTCCTATGCCCTTTCTAATGTTTTGAAAGCTTATCATTCTATATAAAATTATATTTTGTTATTAAGTATTGGTTTAAACATTTAAAATACAGAATGAGCCCAATTTTATATAAAAAATACATTCTATGTATGAACAAAGGTAAAAGAGGTTAGAAATAGATATACCTTTAAGTAGATTTTTAAGTGATTTTTTTCTTCATATTTGTATTTTTCAAACTTTCTACAACAACCATATATATTTTCTTCAAGCATAAATACTTATGTGTATGTATGTATGTGTGTATATATGTATATACATGTATTTAAAAAATGATCTTTCATTACAAACAGTTTTGTCTTTGTTTAAAAAAAACAAAGCTATAAATCTGTCCTGAAATTTAGGAGAAAGAATTACCACTCCAACTTCAGGCAGTTGTGTGCAATTGTTTGACAAGACTTCTAGATCTGTGTCCATTCTAAGTTAAGTGGAGGCATCAAAGCTCTGGATTTTAAATCAAAAGACTTGGATTAGAATTCTGGCTCAGCTACCCAGATATTAACTGATATTAACAGCTACCCAGATTTACTGATATTAACGTACCCATTTTTTGACAACTGTGAAGTGCTGATGATGTTGAATGCCACCGCCCTGTTCCAAGTTGGTGAGCCTCAGGGCGGTCGCTCTGAGCTGCTCCAGTATGGGAACCGCTCCTTTTTCCCTCTCTGGAGGTCAGTGGGGCTCCCCTCGACTGCCCGTGCCTCAGCGCAGGAGGCTGCACTTCCTCCAGTTCACCACTGGGTGGCGCCTTTTGACATCTCCAGTCTCACAGTCTAGGGTTTCACCTTTAAATCATTTTTTTCTTCATTCTGAAATTTAAGACCATTCCCCAACTCCCTTCCAGTTCCTCTTTTTCACTAGAAAGAGAATTCAGGGAGGAAGGTAACAGTACATAATTTCACTAGATTCCATGTTAAAAGTGAGTATTCTTTCAAAAATTCACTTTATCTTTTAAAAAAGAATTAGAAGCCTTACTTATGTCAATAGTGTTGGTTAGAGGTGGGGATGAAGTATAGTTTTCTTTGCTTTTTAATGAGTTTATTATGTTGGAGCATTAGTCATCTTGTGGAATTAAGTGAGTCTCCCACCAATCAGGCTGAAATAACTCACATTTTTGATAAAACCCCAAAGTCCAGCTGATGCATGGCAGAGATTGTTTGGGTTTGAAACATATGGTGGTTTGAAAAAAAAACCTGAATCCTCAACCACAAATACATCAGCATTTCAAAGGTTTGTAAAATGTTTGATTCATCACTGTTCCAGCCCCTGAAATTACACAATGTGTTTCT